ATACCAGTTCTTTTGCTAAAAAAATTACATTTAGAACTGCCTCAAAGCCCATGAAGTTGTCCATGTATTTTTTATGGGAATCGCTTATTTTACCATTTTTTAATACCGACAATTTTTTATGGGACCCTATTACATTTTTTGGGGTTTTTAGGCGGATCTATAAAAAATAGTTAATGAATGGTTAAATAAACAATTGGGTATTGTTATTGGAAGTAACCTAAAGAGAAGCAGAAATTTCCGATCGAAAATAAGATACTTGAAAAACTTCATGGACCTTGAGGCAGTACTAAATATCTTTTTTGTTATAAAAAACGGGTATTATTGTTTTCCATTTGGAAAAATTCTAGGGGTGACCGCTTAACATTTTAAACTTTTTCCCTGCATGTATTTTTGGACCACCCTAAGTTACGGACAAAAATCGATGAAACCAATTTTCAGTAATAAAAAAATAAAACAACTAATTTTGAAGAAAAACGACCGATTTCAATTCTCTTATACAAACCTAGACGTACCCTTTAATGTTTTCATGCTCCGACTTCAATTCTAGTATAACAAATTTAAAAGTACCGTTAATTTTTTCAATAATCGGAACTAATCCAAATTAGTATAGGACCACCATTGAAGTACCACATTTACGATTAAAAATAATTATCGAAAATCATGTGGTCCAAAGTTAACCGGTAACATAATAATAATAAAAATAGATTGGCGCTTACACATATGTTAGTGTTTGGCCGAGCTTCTAACCGGTAACATACATATGTATGTAAAATAAAAACCAATTAACTGATAACATTCCTCCTTTTCTTTAAAGTCGATTAAAAGTTTAGAAGTACCGTTATTTTTTCATGATGCAATGCTCGGAACTAAACCAAATTAGTATGTGACCGCCCTTGACGTACCACATTCCCGATAAAAATAGTTATCGAAAACGGTTCAAGTGGTGCAAAGTTATCCGGTAACATACAAACTTAAATAAAAATATATTCCGAAAAATCGATAACCTGCTCCTTTTTTTAAGCCTACGGTGTTCAAAATAGTTGGTTTTACAAGCAATTTTAGAGGCGATTAGTTGAACCATAAATTCGCTTCCCCCAACTTCATTGGAAGCGATAAGTTGAAAGGCCGTTCACACCAGGCGATTTTTGTTTTCAACAAAAAGTTGCCTCTAAAATCGCCTCATATAAACACCGTAAACCCACACTTAAAATAGGTTTGGCTAGTAGTGATAACTGGCGGAAGTGCGAAATGGAAAATGAAACGGTGGAGCACATGGTGTACCATTTTCCAGCGCTGGTAAATTTACGTCTGAACTGCTTTGGTGTGGCGTTTCTCACTAACCTAGAGCAAGCAATAAAGGCGCGCTCTTTAAAATCCTCAAATTCGCTAAGAAGGTGTCGATGGATTCTTGATATAATGCCTACCTACTCATCATTATGGACGAAAATATCTGTCTATGTGAGCCTTTTACTACCAAAATAAAAAAATGTTGTTTTTAATTTTATTAAAGAACGTAAATTCTTAATTTAATTTTTACTAGTTCTTTTATTTGAAAATTTGGAAGGTTTCGACATCCTCACAAGTAAATTACTGGCCAATTAAAACGAAAATTAGATTCCCATTTTGTGAAATCCAAATCCAAGTCATTACCTGTTCTGCGCGAAAGTTTAAAACGTTTAGCTAAATTAGCAGAATTTGAATGAAAAATATTTTCAAACCTCGAGTTTCACATTTTAAAAGAATCACCTAAATAAAATAGATATATACTATACATATGTATATACATGCATAAATATCATATTTAATAATAAGAAATACCAAAGAAAAATATCAAATTAAAGAAAACAATTTCTGGTCGAGGTGCATAAAATAAAGAGACCGTGTACCCTCATGCTATTGAGATTTTTTTGAACAAATTAATGGCGAAATTTGTAAGCTCTTTGCTACGAAAGCTTTTTTCAAATAAATAAATATGCACATACTTAAAGGTAAAAGCAATGCAATATTTCGTTAAAGTGTAAACTTCTCGTTATTGTCGGCTAGTCAAAAGAAATACATACGCACAATTGAATCAAATTTTTTTTAATTTCTAATTTTTGATGTTGCCGATAATTATAAAAATTTTTTTTTTAGTTTAGGGATTTAGAAATCCGAGGATCCTAGATTCGAAGATTGCTACCTAAAATGTGTAGGTATTGTTCTATCATTTTGCTGTACTAGATACTTAGTACTATTTTAAACAGCAACATTTAAAACATATTTTCAGGCTTTAAGTTGCCGCCAAATATGCACAATTTGATTACACCTGAGGTCGAGCAAAATATATTTTTTTTAGACTAGTATTTTACAATAATAGAAAAGTTACGTATACGCATGGGGGACCTCTGAATCTGAAGTTCGAATTGAGGTTATTTTACGCAATTAAACATTCAAAGATCTAAAACTGCGAAACATACTTTGCTGGCATAGAGAATTAATTTAATTAAACTAAAAGAATTTAACAATTAAGAAAGCTAATATTTACTATTAATCAGGTTTTAATTGAGTAACTGAGTTTAGGATAAGTCAATACCCTGCAGTCAAACCTCAAACTAGTCAGGAAAAATACTAGTTAACAACTAGAATTTCCACACTGAAACCGAACTAGTTCGAAAATGACCAGACTTGTACCAGGTGCAAAACGATTTATGCAAAATATTATAAATTTTATTTGGGTATATTGTAAACCGATAAAGCGAGTACGTATTCGCAATTATACCATACCTGTTAAATAATGATTAATATTCATAATGATTATTAATTAAAGCATTTTTTTTTTAATAACCGTTTAATGATTAAATACCGATATTAGCAGCTTTTAGTGATTAATAATTAATTACTTAAATCAATTTTTTTAATTAATTCGTTAATTATAACTACATCGTTATTTTGTTATTTTTGATAATTTTCAATTATTTTTGACTTTTTTTAATTACAAAATTAATATAATTATTTGATTAATTTTAATCACCAATCAACAAGCCAAAGTATACAAAAAAGATTAAGAGCATTTAATAACTGCTTGAATTATTTATTTATTTTATTCTTATCCAAATCTCAAATTTTAAACATTAATTATTACTTTTTAAAAATTTAAAAAAGAAAGGACTGAAATGTGCAATGTTAATGAATTAAATTTATTTGAATGAAAACTTTTATTTTTATTTTAGTTTACTCAAAAATGAACTAATGAAATTCGTTTTATTTTTAACTAAAATGTTTTCTTTTCCATATTCAATGTGATTAAAAAATATGAAAATATAGTATCTATTGCTAAATAAAAAAGTATAGTGTATTAAAGTGTACGTAATCAAAAGTTTTGTATTGTATATTCATGAATTCATTTTATTTTTTTACTTCCAAAGTATTGTTTAGATATACATATATATGGTATATTTCTAACCAAACTCTTATAATTGCCATCCCGTAGGCCATCCCCATGTTAAAAATACCAGTTGATTGCATGGCAAAAAGATAGTTGGCTGACTAGTTGGGCATGCGGTTCATACTAGTTGTGAGGTATTTCACAACTAGTACATTTGACTACAGGGTATACATGTATGCTCGCGCTGTAGTGGATAAAGTCAGATACACGTTAATACCATGTTCTGACCGACAACGAAAACACTTTGAAAACGAGTTTTGGGATTGTGGGCTGAATGCTGTTCACACCGTTCGTTGACATTTCTTACATCCTTTGTTTACCGTTTTGCTACACAAAAACAAAACCAGAATACTTTTCCTTCATTTTTTTTCATTAACAACCTTTTACTTCCATTCTAATTTTACTATGGCCAGCCAATTAAGAATAAATCCGAAATGGCGTATTAAATCTGATAAAATATAACTTCCACTTCGATAAATAATGGAAAAAAACTAGTGCACAAACCGATTGCAATGAGTGCANTTGGCCAGCCAATTAAGAATAAATCCGAAATGGCGTATTAAATCTGATAAAATATAACTTCCACTGCGATAAATAATGGAAAAAAACTAGTGCACAAACCGATTGCAATGAGTGCAATGTAAGTTTTCAAGTGGTTTTCAGCGAAAACTGGTTTTCGTTTGACAGATTTTACATGAACGAAAACACAAGTTTTAGGTCGAAAACCAGTTTTAGCAACGAAAACATGTTTTCGATGTCGGTCAGAACATAGTATAAGACAGCTAATTTATTTGTTTGCAAGGCGATTTAGAAATTTTTTTAGCTACGCCTAGTGGTACTCTTTTTAAATTTTTCGGTTGCATTCGGCAATAAAACGATTTTTTTTTAACATTTCTACTGGAATAATGGAAATATTTCCTGAGCAAAAGTTTAATAATTTTTCATGTGCTTTAATTAGCTGACACTAGGGTGGTACATAAGGCTTCTAAGAACTGAGATATGATGGGTAAGTACTAAAGCTACGAACTTCGGTTCAATGCATTTCAGAACAAAAAACATTTTATCCATTTTATTCTCTAGACAAGAACCTCGATATATCATAAATACCTTAAAATCTGACTGTAAATGCCGAAGATGCGGCGAAAAATGTAAAAAAAACGAACTCCTACATACATTGGGAAAAAAAAAAAATTGAATTACCTTCCTACGACCCCTACAACTGCCTTTGGAATGTACTACTGCCATCGCCTATCGGCACGAAATGACGCCGAGCGAACTTCGAATTTCGCTTTGGCTGGGTTCGATTTCGTATGTTTGCGAGGCTCAATTTAGACAGCGAATTGGAATTACAACCTCATAGCGATCGCTTGGAAGGCATATCGATAAGCAAATCGATGAATATACCGATAAATGCATATATCGATGACTTAATCGATAATAAAGTTGCAAACGCGGTCTATTTCAAAACAAAGTCTCTTGCTTTTACTGATAAAAATTTCTATATTACACCTCTGAAGGATCAGTACCTTACAAAATTTCCCAACTAAGTGAAATAAAAAGATTTTCAATATATCAAAAGAGTATTATAGCGACAAGCTCCCACTTTATTCGTAACGTAAATAGGTAAACATCTCCTTATAAATAAATTGTACTACAATTTTAACTAACTTTTTAGTTGTTATTCATATTTATGTACGTATGTATGTATGTATGTATGTTTATGTACATATGTATTTAGATAGGTACTTTAATTTATTTTGTTTCATTTATAGAACATGTGCATATTTCTGGTTAATATAAGCTTTAGTGTGATAATTATGTGTGCGAATCGAGGCAGCCAAAGTTTGAACAAGATGCTTATCCCTTTTGCCTGAAGATGTGTACGAATCAAGGTCGCGTCCACTGAAATCGCAGGCAATATACAAAAAGAAACATTAGTAACTTTGAAAATATTGAAAAGTTAAAATACATATGTTTTTTGCCAAACGCATGCAAATGCAAATTTTTATTGATTATCTATAAAAAACCCAAAGACAGATTTGTAATCGAAAATGCATACTAACTACCCAGTGTTGCTTGATCGGAGCACACGTTCAGCCCAGGTTTGTGCTCTTGGTATTTCTCTTGGTACGCCAACTTGCTTCTTATCCAAGTAATCAATAACGTCATCATAGTAATTTGTTCTGTAGTTGTACATGTATTTATACTGCAAGAATTGTGGTCTACAAAAACAAAAACGGAAAGTTTAAAGTTGAAATTCGATCAATGCATTTGCGTATAAAAATCTTCTGCTTAAAATATTTACTAGAGTAGAGGTCCGGCCACACTTACCTCACCCAGTGACGATATAATTGCACTGGCTTCCGGTAGCCATCATCTTCTGGCGGCGGTGGTGGTGGTGCTGCCTCCTCTTCGGCGGCTGCTGGTCCAGCTTCGCCTTCAACTGGTGCACTCTCAGCGCCACCCTCCGCAGGGGCCGGCGTACCACCTGCAGCGGCAGGGGCAGGAGAAGCGGCAGCAGCAGGGGCAGCGGCAGCGGCTGGCTCGCTATCACCTTCATCGAAACCCCATGGATCTTCCTCATCGGCCATTATACGAGTTTACTTTTCGAAGAGATGTAACAAACACAAAGGAAGAAACTATTTTTTTTTTTTAATTTGGAGAGTTACAGTGTTAGTCGAAAATTTTAGTTCGTGAAGCAACTTGAAAAGTTAATACGCAATTTCATACACAATGTTATTCTACTTGATGAAGGTAATAAAAATAACTGCTTTATATTTAGTCACTTTGGGCGACTAAAATTTCGAAGCTGTAAAGTTGCCTAGGATCAGCCTGAATATTAAATGAAGTTTACCTGTTTCCAACTACTACCTGTGGCATCTGTAGGCTATTGAAAAGCAAAGCCCTCTTCCTAACGATCTGAAATCACACGCTACAAAACTCGTATAATGTCTGTGCTTATAATATGTGTGGCGCAGTAATGTGAAAAATATCAAACAAAGTGGGAAAGG